GCTCTTCCACACAGAGGCCATGCCACCAGTGTGCACAACCAGGTTCAAGTCCATCATCTTTTGCTTGAGCAAAGAATATTTTCAGAGCAGCAGCTCTCTGATTTAAATTTACACCATGACACATGGTGCAGATTAGTCTCTCTCTGCGACTTTTTCTAACACCAAAGTGACCTGAATCCAAATAATCCCCAGCAAAAACTTTATCAAAGCTCACACATCTCAGCAAAAATGGTTCAGTTCAAAGACTGAGAATACTTTGCTAAACTATTTTTACTAGTAAATTGTTTTGGGTGAGTTCCACTCAGCTTGGAATCTCCTAAAACACAGAAGATGAACATGGTGTAGGAAAATCAATACACTTAGCAAGCAGAAAAGGACAAAATGAAGAAACTATACAGTAAATAAAACAAGGACAAACTGAAAGGCAGAGAACTGAACTGGGAAAGAGGAATAAACCGGAGCCACTCCACAAAAAGGCCATACGAAAATCTAATTTAAGGTTTATGCTGAAAGAAGTTTCACTGATTAAATGTTGTTTCTTCTAATCTCTGGATCACTACCTCTTCAGAGCCTAGTACCTCAGCGACAGAATTTGTTTTAACCTAAATCACATGTAATACAGGGAGTCTGTTTTCTCTCTAGTCACTTGTTCCTTCTGCTACATACATGTTGCCTGTCATTTCCTCCACGTTGACTCCATGTCAGAACCCAAACAGCACTTCTTTTGGCTTGTTCGTCTTGCATCATTACATTTTCTAGATAGTTAAAAGAAAGCCCTTGGTGATTCATGTTTTGCTGTGTTTCATGCTCAACAGATGTCTGGATAATTAAAACTACCCTATCAATGACCTAGTCATTTCTGATAATATTCCAGTAGCACATAATTTTCGTATTTCCCTGACCTCTGTGGTCTGTAACATGTCTTTTGCTTTTTCTTTTGGTCTTCCTTTTTCTGCATTTGCACCCACATTTTTTGTGACGCTTCCAGTTGTTGTTTTACATCTTGCTACTCCCACGTTTGCTTCAGATGAAAAAGGCTGGTGTGGCAGAGGCCATCACTGTCTGAATTCTGTTTGAATTCCCAGGGCTAATGGGCCATGCTGCAACATTTTTTTTGCTGAAATTGCTGGGGGGTAGATGTGGTTTTTGGGTTTTTTTGGCTTTTTTTTTTTTTTCCTTCCTGAAAGTCCATTTTCTGGCTCATTTGTTCCAATGGGGACAATGACAAATTGCCTTCCATGATACTTTTCAAGCATCCATTGCTCTTCCAGACAAGTTTCTTGTTTTGATACTTGAAAAACACATGGCCTGTTTTTTATCTTGTATTAATAACCTGCTTACACATTTTCCATCATTGCCAATAACGAAGACCAGATTCCTCTTCCTGCTCGTCTCTTTCATTTTGCAGATTACTGCAGATGAGCAACTTTTTCCTCTGACTGTTTATGCCCTGCTCCATCACAGCTATAGTGGCGTTCCCTTCCTCAGCTATGAACAGGAGTGTTTGCTTCAACTTTCTTTCCGTTTGTGTATTGGTATTCCTCCCTGTGGTCTAAATAATACTCTTGTTCTACCTTTCCTGGCTGAAGAGCTGCAAGCTCTTCTAGTCCCTGTGTTTACCACAGCTTTGAAGATAAAATGGGTCAGAAAGGTACAATTTTGTCCTTAAGACATTTACTCCAGAATTTCTGCTGCCCTGTACCTCAGGTATATTCCTCCAATTTTCCTTCATGAAGCTGAACACTTTACATTCACTTAATGAAGCCCTCATGTACAGCTCACACTCCCAATTCATATCCAGCGTGAGTACAGTTCCAGCACTGCAGGAGCAAGCAGTGCTTGCTTAAAGCAAGGCTGAATTCAACATCATCTCTTTAATTGCCTTAGTGATTTCTTCAGCCCCCCTTATTTTCTGTCCTTGACTCTCCTCACAAAGCAAATTCTCCACTTTATCTATTCAATGTTCAGCCAATTTCACAGCTTTCTGGCTTTAAGCAATTTTATAATCTCTTACTGTGCTAATCCCAGAACAAACAGGAAGAAAATATCAGCTCTGATAAACTAACATCAGGGGAAAGCACAGCACTTCTTTAAGGCAGCACTGTCCCATCTCCATCTGCTTTATTTCTCTTGTTATTTAAGCAGAGAGAAGGAAATTCAGCACACATGTTGGGGTGCAGCAGCACAGCGATTTTTCCCTTAAAACACCTACAGGTAATGAACGTAACTCAACAGAAATGGCAGGTTTTGAAATCTATAATGCAAACTTTTAAGCGAATGTTTCTCTGTAAAAGACTCTTCATTTTGAAGCAGAAAGAAAAAGAAAAGCTTGTAATTTTTCAGATGCCAGATTGTGTTTGCAATGCTGGCAGTTAGAAGTACCGTGTTTTGCCAGGTAAACAGAACAAATCTGATATGGCAATAACCAGTGCAGAAGAAGAACATGGAAAAGCAACAGATCATTTTAGGGACCTTCAGCCATAACCCTGACACTCTAACAGCCTATGCTTGCCAGCGCAAGCTACCCTGTATAAACACCGGTCCCTTCCACAAAGGGTGTAAGTAACGCAGACCTCCCATCACAGCCCTGCAGTTCACAAGATGAGCCTCTCCAGGGTAACAGTGAAGTTACAGCCTTGGCCAGGAGCAGGGCGGCACTGTATACACAAGGGATTCATAAACGTTGATTGTGCAAATCCAGGTAAACTTAGGAGAAACGGCTCACACCCTGAGATGTTCTTCAGCACTTTGGGTACAATCTCATGAGCCAGGCTGAACAGATACACTGCCACAACAGTCTCACCAGAAGCAATCCTGGTGCAGGACTCCCAGGATCAAGCCTTTGAAGACCCATTGCTCGTATTAGAATGCACGCCACACCCTAAGCAAGGCTTGTTTGTCTCCACTGCTGGCTACAAATGCAGTGCTACGCATTGACAAAGAGCACTCACGCTCCCCACGCTATCCAAAATAGCAACCAGTTGTAAATTGTTGTGTGACTGATGTTTTCATTAATTGCAGCAGCTACCACCACCTGCTCCTTTCACTGTTTGATGCAGCCCTATAAATTAACAGCATATGACTCTTAAACAGTGATGTCACTGCACTGTATGGCTAAAATGCAAATATACCTGTCATTATTTGTTACTGTTTTGCATAAGACTCCAAGTAACAACATTTAAAAATAAGGAAGCATATCAATCTCCATCTTTTCCCTTTCCATTAATGCCATCATATTTAAAACAGATTACAATTAACGGCTGAATTCTTCTAAGATTTCTGGTGTAAAGTATGTATCCTGCTGGTAACTTCAGAAGAGGATTAATGTGCACTGGGCACCAAAAGCTCTATTGCAAGAGGCTCTTCATTATCCCTCCCTTCCGTCGTAAACTGCTCCTAACACTGAATCAGAAAAGGGAAAATAAGTTCTTTTTTGCTACAGAAATGTCCAGCAGCAATAGCATATAGAACAACATCTGTAGTTTCAAAAAAAGAGTGAGTGGTGCTAACCAGTGCAACACAGAAAAGTACTCAGCAGGGCAAGGCTTGTCTGTGACTGCTATGAAGCTTTTAATTTTTAAATCTTGATCATTTGACTTAATTCACTCTCACTCTTTTAAGCAGCAACCCAGTTAAGAAACACTCCACCTTCCCCCATTACCTCCTGCAGCTTGATCTCATCTGGCTGGAGGATGCTGAGGACCCCGCTGCTCCGGATCTCAGGAAGATCCTGCCATAAGTTGAACCTGGAGTTGGAGTTCCTCAGCAAACTGATTTGTGGTGGAGCTTTGCTTTCGGTTGTACTTGTAGGTTCTGCTTCAGATGGGGTTTCCTCGCTGGGTGAACTCTCCTCAGGGTCTGTCTGCGAATCCTGCAGTCGTCTGGTTTCAATCTCCTGGCGTGTAGATTTATCTCGATATTCCTGATACAAGAGCCCTAGGAAGCAACATTAACAGGTCTGAGAGGTTACAGATGAACAAAAGAGTAAAAATGTATTGTGGGAAAGGGTATTTGTTTTGCATTAGTACACCTCAGCAGAGGTGAGAGCATTCCTATTTCAGCCAGAAGTGGAAACTATAAATGGAAGGGCATTTCTAAATCTAAAGTGCTGTCAACAATCTGCTCCCACAAAACATTTAGTAACACAGTCAGATGAATCCATAATCAATCGGAAGACATAAAAGAAGTGGTTTGTTATTTGCCAGGCTTTTAAATGTTTCTCTTAAACCTTGATTTCCTCTGCAATATTATTATGTTACAAGTTATATAGATTGGTAGGTATGTGTAAGTGTATGTCTGGAAAAGTAATACTGCATATATTGAGACTACTTTAAAGGAGCAATTTGATGGCCATGAAAATCCTTAAGGAGGAAACACTGAGCTGCTGTTAAGGCACTGGACAGGTGAAACACTGGGAAAACAAGCTACAGTTACTAGTTTGTTTTGGTATTGGTGGTTAGCCTTGGACATGTTGCTTAATTTCCTTCTGTTTTCCTTCTCAGTTTCTATGATGAATGAAGATATGAAATTAACATTGAAAAGGTACCTGAATGCCACAGCACTAAGGAAAAAGCTTTGAATTCACACCATCTTGCGGCACATCAATCATATGAGGTGTCTACTGAGTTTCAATTACTAACTTCAGGAGCAGACAAAATTGCATAGAATTTGCCCCCACCCCTGATTTCAACTGACAGCACAAAAGATGTAGGAATCCTGAAATTCCTTGTCCATCTTTAGAAGATCCTTTACCTCTCCTAGGGCTTTCTAACTGTCCCATTTCTCTTTCTGAGCCATCTGTAGGACCTAGAATATTAATTGCTTGAATATAAAATGTAATTTAGAAGGTAGGAAATGACAAGAGAGCATGAGCCTGCTCTGAGTCACTCTCCTCACTTACTCAAATTGAAGGAGTGCAATTTACATTATCTCCCTTGGTTTATACTTGAATTGCAAAGTGTAACATGAATGAATAAAGAGAAAAGTCCTTGATGTTAAAAAAAAACCCAACTACATAATTTATTTTGTCTGAATCATTAGGGGTTAAAATCTATCTGGTCACATGCATTCACAATATTGGATCTCAGAAGCAGATTCCATGTGTAATAAGGTGAGAGACAACTGGGTCAGGAGTTTGTCTAGGGAGGGCAGAAACGTAGATGTTACTTCCTATTAAATCTCTGGGACAGTTTTCACGAGGCTCTGTACCAGCCACTGTTAAAACTGTATCAGAAATATGCTGGAAAAAGCGCAGGCACAAGGACAGCGTTACCGCGGTCTGCGAGTGTATCCTGTTATCTGTTCTCCCTGGAAAGACGTTCAACACTGGATTAAAATAGCATTAAGGGTAGCTGTGCCTAGGAAACCATACAGTCTTCTGTTAGCTTCCTACACGATAACTGAAGAGAGACTTCCCCTGAAGTTTTGCATGCTGCTGCTGCTACTTACATAATTTCTCTCTGCGTCAACTAGGCTTATATGGCTTTCCTCAGCATTTCGGCCTGTTATTCAGCATCAGTGAGGGTGCCGCAGATGTAGTGGGGTGGAAAGGCTCCTTCAGCAATGGAGCAGAGAGCCCCTGCTCTCAGGGGTACCGATCTGTAAGCTCAGCCTGTGCTTGAAGGCTCTGGTGCGGCAGGGCACTGGGTACTTTCTGCCCCACCAAACTGTGCACCAGAGAGCAGGACAGGCTGGGAAGTAACACCCTGCAGCAGTATGGGCAGTGCTTGACTCAAGGGAAAACACGCTGGGAAACTTGAAGCATAATCTAGCTATTTTACTCATATTAGAGATAATTATACTTGCAGCTTTTGATTGTACAGCCATGTTGTGCTGGTGGGTCCGCCCTGCAAGTCAGAGGCAATTAAGGATATTTTGTGTAAGGGGGGTCTAGTGTCCCTTGTGCAGATCTGGAGAGCAGCCCTTTAAAAAAGATCCTCAAGACAAATTTTCCCCTTGCTTTTAAAGAAACAAAATCCAGACAATGAAACTTGATTTTGTTTCCAGGTTCCCTGTCTGACCAACCGAACAGATAAGACCTATGGAGCCTTCGGTGGCAGGCAAAGGCAAATATGGACATGGGGAGATCTGATTGACTAAAGGCATCTACCACCAGAACTCGTTTGCAAATGACAGCAAGGTAACTCATTATAAGGAGGGAGATGAGGAGAGACTGGCTGAAGCTCTACCACAGACAGCAACATGGGGAGGAAGCAGAAAGGTGATACCAGAAGAAAGCCAAAAGACAGGTAGATATTTAGGCAGAAGAAGGGTAGGAAGAAACAAAGAGGGTTGTGCTTAGCAAGAATAAAAGATATCCTCGCTATCTTGGTGTAAAAGGTCCATCCATATGTCAGTAAAGAGGTTACAATGCGTAGAGCAAAGGCTTAGATGAGAAAGAGAGGGAGAGAAGCCATGTAAAAGCCTACTCTAGATGAAGCAGGAGATGGCCATGGCACAGGACGGGTGGCGTAACAGATGCAAGGTCAGGGAACAGGGGTTTGATATGTTGAAAGGAGAGCAATACATCTGGGAACTGACTGAATGTGTAGAAAGAAGCTGAGATCAGTAGTTGAATGTGACTCAGAAGATACAATGATTTAGTAAATGCTTACATTTAGTAAGTGAACAAGTACAAAATGTCAGAGACCTGTAGGAGCTCTGTTCATTGCTTAATGTCCCAACTGTCCCTACTGTGACCTGGCTAAAGGTTAACCATGGTCAGAGCATGGGTTTGGTGTTGCCTGTTGACTTAAGTGGTTAAGGCTGATCTTCCTAAGGGGTGTTTACATAGTTTGTATAGTACATAATAGACTTTTCCCTTTCTGTTTATTCCATTTAATTTTGCTGTCACAGTCTCTCTTCCCAGCTCTCTCAAAAACTGGGAGGGGAATTGAAAAACTAGTTACTAATTGTGGAAAATGCTCGCCTTAGAGAATTCACAGTGCTCCTAAAGTATACGTTATTACATTGAAAGCTATGTAAAATCCCAGGAGGTCCAGAGACGTTTTCTCTGAAATTCTCTGCTCCAGTTTCAGGCAAAAAGTCCATTAATGCCACAAAGGCAAAAGAGAGGGAAGGGAGCGAGTGTGCTCCAGCCATTTGAAATGACCTCTCTGTTGGGGATTAGCGTAGCATCTCTGGTTGTCAGAACCCTGTCTCCTCCATCAAGGTGCAACAGACCTACTTCCAGTTACACCGACGCGTGCAGAACTATCGCGCGGCTTCCCTGTGATATAGAGCACATAAAAATATATATGAATATAGCAACTGGGTTGCTTTGAAGTCCTGCTGGTTTTAGTATTTTTATCACGCCTCTTAGCGGCACAGTCCCAGTAAACTGACAACGTATTGACACATCTGCCTTGGGAGATTAGTACCTACACAGCCAAAAGCAAGTTAACGGATCTGGCAACATCCATGCAAATTGTTCACTACTTTCCTCCAGAAGGCCCCAAACTCGGCTGTTTTGTCTGACAGACGCTGGCAGGCTGCTGGTTTGACACCAGCCTCATTCCCCAGCGCTGTCCCTGTGGCATCAGGCGTTCCACGAATCATCCCTGCCTGCCACGACCTGACACCAAACTGCAGCCACTCTCCTCTCCCAACGACAGCGTGAGAAGCCTCCTCGTTCCTGCCAAGGAGGTTCACCTTGCTGCTCATGAGAGTTATCTTTCCAATTTTCCCATGCAAAGTGCTACATTCCTGCCCTCTAGATTCAAGTATCTGGCAGTTTAATTTCCTGAAATTGAACAGAACTCTTTAAAAATAAAGCTTCTCTATTTCCACCATAAAACCTGCCTCTGGATGGGGGTTAACTTTGCAGTTGCCCAAATCTCTCTGAGGAATGTCACAATTCAGATGTGGGAAACCAAGAAACAAGCTGTGAAGGTCCTCTCCACATCCCACAGAAAAAATTTCAGAAGTACCACAAGAGCAAAACAGTCCTCTCCTCCACAGCCACCCAGATAACCTCAACTCTGCCTTTACAAAGAGACCACAAATGATAAAATAACTTAGTCCTCCTTGCAAATGCTACACTGTGACAAATACACGCTGACCCCGGTGCATACAGCTAACATCTAACAGGATAGTTGACCCAGTACTTTAGTCATACGCCTTTCTGAGCATGCGAAATCAGAGTTGGCTGTAGCCTTAACGATTAACTGCTTCGTAATCACAAGAATTAATCGTTATTTATGAACGGAGGTAAAGCTGCTCAGCGATAGCATTAAATCTCCTGCCAGGCAGCGTGCAAACCTGATGCCCCTAAAGACAGCAAAAAGCCACCGCTAAAGCCATGGTTATTACGCTTTACACCAACAGCGAGAGGTCTTGCCAGCAAGGACAGAGAGCGGGGTTCCCGCAACACCCTGCCTGAGGCTCCCGCCCGCCGTGTACCGCTTGGGCTTAGACCTGGGTTTCGTTCGCCAAACGCTGCTGGTTTGGGGGGGCTTGGGGGGACGGGAGACGGCGGCTCGGCTCGGGCGGGGGGGCCGGGCCGCCGGGGCGGGGCCTGTCGGGGGGGGGGGGGGGGCCCG